TTGTTTGGCAGGATGAATATGGATGGAGAATACGAACCAACCATACATTATTCAGTCTATATCAGGATCCCACGATAGTAGCAGAAATAAAAAGAGGCAGGCTACGCTGGGCAGGGCACCTAGAGAAAATGCCAAATGACAGGGGAACGAAGAGGGTGCATCACCAATACCCCAGAGGGAAAAGGGCTCAAAGGCAGACCTATGCTTAGGTGGATGGATGATGTGAAAAATTATCTACAGCAGTTGAAAGTCCCAGCATGGAAACGAAAGGCATTAGTTAGGTCTGAGTGGAAGGAAGTGGTGAGGCAGGCCCAAAGCCCTTCATGAGCTGTAGCGCCACAGGGGTGGATGGATGTATATAATATATATCCTGTAGTGCCGGTGCATTTGAACTTTCCACTAGAAAATTTCTTGTTTTAAATTTGAGTATTATAGTATTATGTTTTAAATTATTTCTGATAGTTGTAGAATATTTTTGAACATATATAAGTTATCTGGTTCTGGTAGTGTTTCGTTGCTGCATCCATGTACTGGCATCTTTGCAATGGTAGGGGGTATGATGCTGCTATTCTAACAGCTCCTAGCTGATGCCAGGATAGCCTTGAAGCTTTCGACCGATGTCGAGTTCACAGCAGTATCGTCCATGCTATTATTATCTCTTATGTTATCTCTTATATATTATCATATTATGCTTCTGGTAGACTGCTTCCATTTCCGGCTGCTTCCTATTCACCTTATTTGGTACTGGGATTATTTTCGTAGCTTTTGCTATATACATTGTACTTGGTGACGTATATTTGGGTATGGGAAATGGTGTTGTTAATCTTTTTAATTTTAGCAGGAGCAACAGTGATGGCATAGTGATGTGGCAATGTGCCACTATTTGCAACTGCTTTTAGGTAACATTTTATATGCGGCAGTATGGACCAGATAGGAATAAGAGAATCCACTCTCATAGTCATAGTGTGACTGCTATGGGTAACCCCAAGCACGGACACATCCATGGTCCACTCTCATAGTCATAGCGTGACTGCTATGGGTAACCCCAAACACGTACACATCCATGGTCCACTCTCATAGTCATAGTGTGACTGCTATGGGTAACCCCAAGCACGGACACATCCATGGTCATTTAACGTAACACTCAGCCGTGTACTGGCCTTAAATTTTATGTAGGTTATTTACACGTGGGAATAACCATCCCTGCTCCGGGGTTGACCCATGGTCAGCTCGAGACGCTGGTTCCCTGTGACTGTGTGTGGAGGGGTGGGGGGACTGGGACTTGACGTGTGTAAATTTTTTTGAGATTGTGGTGTGGAACGGATGCGTCGGGTCGGCGGCAGGTGTGAGCGATTTTCCTGTCGGCTCTGTCAACGGATTGTACCTTACATTAAAAAGCTATAGTTCTCAGACCTGATTGTTTTATTGTGATTTTATTCTAACTGTAAGCTACGTCACCACTCGGCTACAGTTAGTAATGGAGTTATTTACATAATAAAGAGACGCTTGCTGCATGAATCGTTGGTTTGTAAAATTATTAATAAATGAATTATATTACACAAAATTCTCAATGTTTTTAAGAAAGTATGGTTTAATAGTGAGTTCTATAGAGCTCAAAATATAATTCCCGATAAGGGGTCGTCCATTAATTATGTCAACAAAATGGGATGGGGTGGAAATGTTTGACAATTGTTGACAAGAGAAGAGGGGGGGGGGGGTATATTAGTAATTAGTTGACGACAATAATCTTAATCATGTTTTCTCTATTAAAATTTTTTTTTTAAAATCGTCCATTAATTATGTCAACAAAATGGGATGGGGTGGAAATGTTTGACAATTGTTGACAAGAGAAGAGGGGGGGGGGGTATATTAGTAATTAGTTGACGACAATAATCTTAATCATGTTTTCTCTATTAAAATTTTTATCTTAAAAATTGTCTGGTTATTACCTTATTTTAACAAATTTAATGAGCGTACATTGAAATAGCTACATATTTTTTTTTACTTGTATAAAATTTTAACTTGTTGATTAACAAGCTAAATATGCATTTTTTTCCCCCTACAATAAATTTTGTGTTATTAAAATAGATCAGCACATAGTAAAATGTATTTTTATTGTTTATTTATATTATAATTCATTTTTAAAGGTGGTGTGGTGTTGACATAATTACTGAAAAAGGGGGGTGGGGGGTCATTGAAAGTTTAACAGTTGTTGACAAGGGGTGGGGAGGGGCGGAATGCTTAAAAATTGTTTACGTAACTAATGGACGCCCCCTAGCTACGCCTACACTAACCTTTTTTTATGGGAAGCGTTATTCACACAGCTCTGTGAATAACGTTTAGCGTTATCGGCAGAACGAAATCTGTGAATAACGGCAAGCGTTATCCACACAGCTCTGTGAATAATGTTTAGCGTTATCGGCAGACCGAAATCTGCGAATAATCATATAATGCATTAGAACTAGACTGGTGAAAAATTATTGTTGGGTGTAGGCTATTAATATTACTATTAGTATACTGAACCGTCACGAGTTATTATCTAATTTTTTTCACTATCAATTATAAAAAAGGGCAAATTTATTACTAATATTAGTATGGTAATATCTGTATACCGCTAGTATAATAGTAATAGCCTATTACTATACTAAATATTATGCAGTATAAAGTATATACACAATTGTAGTATAAGTAATATACTTAGTTACTTAGCTTAATCAGTATACGCATACATGGGCGCCCGCAGAAAACTTTC